GTATTGTCCGCAGATGGATCTCGAGATTTGAAGTCTGGCCCTACCTAGAGACTTATGCTGAGGTGAACTTTTTATTGATACTGTCAGCTGCCATATTTTGTTTGAGTGACAAATGTTCCATTGATTTTTGGTTTTTGCTTGTACTTGGTTCTAAGAAATACCAATTTTTTTTGTTATCAGGATGCGATCCAGGAACTTTCGAAGGAATTACACGGCAAGCCTGATCTCATCATCGGAAACTACAGTGATGGGAACATTGTGGCCTCATTGATGGCACACAAATTGGGTGTTACACAGGTTTGTGATTATTACCATTAGATGTAGTTAGTTATGCCTTTTGATGGCTTTTTCATCTGGGTATATTTTTTGTATCTTTATTAGCTAAACACATTCTTTGGATGTTGTTTTGCAGTGCACCATTGCCCATGCCCTGGAGAAGACAAAGTACCCTGATTCTGACCTTTACTGGAAGAAATTAGATGACAAATATCACTTCTCATCCCAATTTACAGCTGATCTTATAGCCATGAACCATACTGATTTCATCATCACCAGTACCTTCCAAGAGATTGCTGGAAGGTAACATATCTCTTGCCTCACATTTCTTGTATCGATGGTCACATATTTTGGGACCCTAATTTTATGTTCTGTAAATGTTTGCAGCAAGGACACAGTTGGCCAGTATGAGAGCCACACTGCTTTTACTCTTCCTGGGCTCTACCGTGTCGTTCATGGTATTGATGTCTTCGATCCCAAGTTCAACATTGTTTCACCAGGAGCAGACATGAGCATTTACTTCCCTTACTCAGAGAAGGAAAAGAGGCTGACATCATTCCACCCTGAAATTGAAGAGCTCATTTACAGCCAAGTTGAGAACAAGGAACACTTGTAAGTTTCCTTACATCATCTTTGCCTCGATTATATTTTGCTTTTTCTGTAATTGAACATATGCTAATCTGTTTGTTTGTTGCCAAACAGATGTGTGTTGAAGGACAGGAACAAGCCAATCATCTTCACAATGGCAAGGCTGGACCGTGTGAAGAACATTACTGGACTCGTTGAGTGGTATGGTAAGAATGCCAAGCTTAGGGAATTGGTTAACCTTGTTGTGGTTGCCGGGGACCGCCGAAAGGAGTCCAAGGACAATGAGGAGAAGGCTGAGATGAAGAAGATGTATGAGCTGATTGACACCTACAAGTTGAATGGACAGTTCCGATGGATTTCATCCCAGATGAACCGCGTGAGGAACGGTGAACTCTACCGTGTCATTGCTGACAGCAAGGGAGCTTTCGTGCAGCCTGCTGTGTATGAAGCCTTCGGCTTGACGGTTGTTGAGGCCATGACCTGTGGACTTCCAACATTCGCTACTTGCAAGGGTGGCCCTGCTGAGATTATTGTGCATGGAAAATCTGGCTACCACATTGATCCATATCATGGTGATCAAGCTGCGGACATCCTTGTCGACTTCTTTGAGAAGAGCAGGGCAGATCCTAGCCACTGGGACAAGATTTCTCAGGGTGGCTTGCAGCGTATTTACGAGAAGTAAGCACAGCCCTCTTGTGCAGCAACATAATTTTATTGTAATATGCTTCTAAATTTGCTTACACATGTTCTCTGTTTGTGTAGGTATACATGGCAAATCTACTCAGAAAGGCTCTTGACTCTCACCGGAGTTTATGGCTTCTGGAAGCATGTTTCTAACCTTGATCGTCTTGAGAGCCGTCGCTATCTTGAAATGTTCTATGCCCTCAAGTATCGCAAGCTGGTAAACTTATTTGCCTAACGCCATACCCTTTCACGATTTTCTTACTTTCCATTATTTTTCTTCCTTACCATTAATTTTCTAACTTAATGTGTCTTACCTTGCAGGCTGAGTCTGTTCCTCGTGCCGAGGAGGAGTGAAGGGAAAGCTAAAGAGTAAAATAAAGAGGCGGAAGCTTTGGTTGGCTAAGAGTGGAGTTTTCCTCCTTAGTATGAGGATTGTTTTTGGATATATTTTGATTTTTTTTTTTCGTTTCTTTTGGAATTTTCATTTTACATTCCTATTGGAAATGTTTGAATCTGGGTTTTTAACCCCATTAATCAATTGAAGTCAACTTTGCTTCACCTAGTCTTGTTCTGCTATCCAATCACATCTCCTTTTTCACATTTGCTCTTGATTGGTCATTTGCTTTTTGTTGAACGCACTAGTATTTGTTGTGACTTTTGTTTGGCTTTATCTCTTCTTTTTGTTGAACGCCCTAGTATTTGTTGTGACCCAACACATCATGGTCACAGCGACCCCAAAACAAAGAAGGAAAAAAAATCAGAGCATGGTCACCTAACCCAATTTCTTGAAGTTAGCCTAAGCTAGATTCTTCATAGGTTGGCCTAGGCTAGATTCTTCATAGGTTGGCCTAGATGTAACCTAGTTTTCATTGGGTGCATATGCTCCTTTTGGAGGAATGGATGAAATTTCCCCAAGATGTAAGATCTGACCAGTAAGCAAGCAACAACTTTGTGACAAATGGAAAACAATTGCTTACAACTTTTGTGTTTGAGTTGCTCCATTTCCAAGTTACGTAGAGTTTAGCCAATTCTAATCTAACTTCAATTATTTTTTGTTAGATACTAATGTAGCCAAAAAAATTTGAAGAAAGTGATTTCGGTTTTAAGTAAGCAATTTCAAACGGGCGCTAACTTTTTTGGTAATTTAATCGGGCCTAGCTGATATGAGTTTCAATGGTTCTAAAAACATTGGGCTGGAGTTGCCAGGCCTAGATAAGTTGCTTTCTTTTGTCTTTGGGCTTCAGCATTGGTCAAGTAGAAAACTCACTTTTGTTTTTATTTATTTGTAATTTAGATATGAAAACATATGAGCATGCAACGGACTCGCAGGGCACCCCATAAGACGCTATTTCCTCTAATTCTCCAATTAAATGTGGCACCAAAAAAAAAATTTGTTTTCGTTGTCTATAAAACAGTGCACGGCGCTTTTGGTTAGTTTGAATCTTGATTGAAGTACAAAAGTCACAGAAATTTAGAACGAACTCTAAATCAGCAATGAAGCGATCAAGAAACTGCATCAAGATGAACATGCTTATGTTCTTTCCCTCCTTAACATCTTTGCTTCTAATGGCTTCCTTCTTCTTCTTCCACTTGGGCTTCTCTTTCAGCCACCAAATTCCACACCCCACAATCAAGAACGCTTGCACCACTCTTCTTCACCCATCTCTGTGCTTCACTGCTCTTGCCTCTGCCAAAACCCATGACCATTTCACTACATTTCATCATCTTCTTGAGGCCAACATCAACCAAACTGTGGCATCTGTGGAAAGTACCAGGCAGAGCATTAAGGGTCTTCTAAAGCTCCAAGATTTGTATTTGCAAGAGAGGAATGCGCTGAAAGATTGCCTAGAGATGTTAGACCAAACCCTTTATGAACTTGGCCAGGCAGTTGATGATTTGCATGGATTTCGTGTGTCCTACGGTAACCTCAAGACTCTTCTTAGTGCAGCTATGACAAATGAGAACACTTGCATTGATGGGTTTTTTGAATTGGAAGAATTTGATTCAGAAAATCAAATCGGTCTCAAAGGTCACCTCCAAGGCTTGTTGGCTCCCATCTCTGAATTGATGAGTGATTGCTTGGCCATGATCAGATACCAAGAACAAGCCCTAAATGAACAGAAGAGGCTTGTTACCAAGAAACCAAAGAAGAGGTTCCCAATGTGGATGCTGCCCGGTGATCGAAATCTGATGCAGAGAGAACCAACAATGAAGGCTGACATTGTTGTTGCTGCTGATGGCAATGGAGATTATGAGACTATTGGTGAAGCACTGAAGATGGCTCCTAACATGAGCAGGACCAGGTTTGTGATTAAAATAAAGGCAGGAGTTTACAATGAGACCGTAGAGATTTCCAGAGAAAAGGCTAATATCATGTTGGTTGGAGATGGGATGAACACAACCATAATCACAGGGTCTAAAAGCTTTGCAGATGGATTTTCCACCTTTGCTACAGCCACTTTAAGTAAGTAACAAATTTTCGGTTCAGAAAATTCTTGTGTTCTTGATATTTTTACATGTATTTGAAATTTGATGAGTATTGAATTGAAAGTCAAAGAATTTATTATTCTGATCTTTGCAGCTGTAATTGGGGACAGGTTTTTAGCCAGGGACTTGACCGTAACCAACACAGCAGGTTCAAAGAAGTTCCAGGCCGTTGCTGCAAGAGTGACCTCTAACTCTGCCTTCTATCATTGCAACTTCAGTTCTTATCAAGACACCCTTTATGTTCATTCCCTCCGCCAATTCTACCGTGACTGCATAATCGAAGGCACGATTGATTTCATTTTCGGAAATGCAGCTGCAGTCTTCCAAAACTGCACAGTAATTGTTCGAAAACCGATTCCCGGTCAGAAATTGATGATCACTGCTCAAGGGAGAACAGACCCAAATCAAAACACTGGCATTTCGTTGCAGAACTGTACCATTGTGGCTGCACCAGATTTCAACAAGACTGAGAGGCAAAATTTCACAACTTTTTTGGGTAGGCCTTGGAGAAACTATTCAAGGACTATAGTCATGAAGAGCTACTTGGGGGACATGATAAATCCACAAGGGTGGTCAAAGTGGGATGATTATAGCACTGTGGAAACTGTGGAGTACATAGAGTACTTGAATTTTGGACCTGGATCAGATACAAGGCACAGGGTCAAATGGGGAGGCTATAAAAAGAATTGCAGTGAAGAGATTGCGAGGCAGTTTACAGTTGGTTTATTCTTACATGGAGCCGGTCATTGGCTAAAGACAACGGGCATTCCACTTTCTTATGGTTCATAAGGAAGATAGTGAGAGTGAAACAGAAGTGATATATATTTCTGTTATTCTTGAAAATAATGTAGTATTCCTGCCTCTTAATGTTGAGAAGTTGTCGTTTTAACTGTAAAGGATTAGCACCACTTGCAGTAAAGAATGGAATTTGAGTTTAAGCCTAGCAAATACAGAGACTTTCAACAGAAAAAATCGCCTTGAATTTGATTTTTTGGGATTAAAATTGTAGAGTACAATCAAAATCCTAACGGTGGTTGTTCATTCTATACAGTATTGTGCACATCATATAGTGTGTTGGCAAAAAGGTAAGAACAGAAACAAGCAAAATGAGCTAAACTCCCGAGCACTTTGGTGCGATCATGAGATAAAGCAAGTAGATTGAGAATATGTACTCATTTCCCAGTTACAAAATTTGCCTGCAGCCGTTGGGATTTATACATACACCATGGCCGCCAGCTTATTGACCTATAGCATTAGAGATGAAAAGCTCCCATGAAGCATTTTGAGCTTTCAATGACCTTTCCCATCTGAATTTATTTTATCTGTTTGTACCTTCTTTCATACATTGAATTTCAACCTCACGCTGTTCCTATTTCAAGGTGAAAGTACACAAGCAACCAGAATCAGTAAGCAACAACGAGACTGCCATGCTGATACTGCTTCACCATTACACCACCATCTGCGTTGCGAATAACATAACACTATATACCAGCGTACTGTTCTTTTAATTCTTCAATTCTCCTTCTCAAATCTATTTTATTCAGAGGCTGCCTCGGGTACAGAATTAGTGCTAAAAATAAGGAGAATGCAAAACCAGTTAGACCGCTAAATGGTTGGAATGGGTGCGTCCCCATAATCCAATGAGGAAAGCTAGCCTGGTAGGTCAGAAAGCCACCCTTCTGTAGGATGAAACTTGAAGCCATAATTCCTGCACGAAACCCGATTGGAATGGAAAGGCTCCCTTGGTTTCTTTGTCGAGCACCTGATAAACTCAGAGATAGAAGCCAAAGTCCTGGGATTGATAGTGGAGACCTGAAACCCCATTGGAAGAAAAGACTTAAATTTATCTTGCACATGGTCGGCAGAAATCATTCTACAGAACATTCCAGTATTTCATTGCATATATCTTGTATAGGGCGCAACAATAGCTAAAAGATGACAGCAAATATCCATTCCAATTTCCACACAGAAGACAAAAAGAATGCACGAATTCTAGAAAGGCAATGAGTAAGTAAAATGAGTAGAAAACAACCTCTGGAATAAAGAGAATGCAAGTCCTGATATAATTATTCCTTGATGATATCCAAGATCTGCAGCAATTTCTTGGGGCAACCATGACCTGAAAAGCAATTCTTCCACAAGAGCAGCACCAGTTGCTGTTAAAATTCCTTGACCAACCAGCCTAAGCACTTGCCCATAAACTTTGATCCGTGTCATGGCATCCAAAGAAGATAGAGTAGAGGGCCAAGCGAGATTCACACAGCCAAGTAATGCATTTACAGATTGTATTGATAACACAAGCATGACTCCACCAATCAAGCCCTTCAAAAAATCACATAACTGCAAGAAAGGAACTGAAAAATCATCTAGCTGCAAGTAATGAATAGTATCTTATTTTGCATGAACCAAGCAACACCAAATTACATTGTTCTCTCGCACAAAGACTTGAGCATGTAAAGACAAATCAGATCCAGTTCTTGTCCAGAGTTTCAGATATCCGCACCTTTGGCAATGACGTTAAATCTAGCCCATATTTCTGTAGGGGATTTTCATATCCGCGTATTCTTTTGCCCCATATAATAACAAGTATCATAAAAGCCGTATAGAGGCCAATAATGCAAGCAAGTTCAGCAATTCTAGAGGATGTATTTGTTGCCCAGCTTTGTAGAAATGTGGGAAGTAGTGGAACAACAACTGGTGACCATAAAACAAGCACCATACCAACAAACCCAAAAATCCTACAGAAGAAAATGAGAATAAAGGACCATATCAGTAAATACAGTAATTAAGTACAGAACTCAATTCAACAAAAAGTGCATAAATGGGGAAAGATTACCATGCAATATACAGATAAAAGTTCTAATTTGATCCTCTCTTAATAACCATAGCCTATATAGATTGGCATGTAAGATTAACTTATTAAACATAGAAATTCGTAGCCCAAATGACTTTGAGATAAAGATAATTAGAATTAACCCGTATATGATTACTCTGAAGACAACTTACAAAATACCTCTGGATTAAGGGACGCTCAGCTATATGAAGAAATTGGATAAGCTTGTCAGTCAAACTCATCGCACCACGTAAACCACCCCATAGCAATGCAATTTTGCCAACTAGCTTCAACATCCCACCCTTTTGTCCTAAATCTGCCAACATTGCGACCAATCTGTTTTCAAAGTAATTACAATATTAGTAAAAGAGAGAAGTAGTAGTAAGTGTGTATACAATAAATTGTGTGCTTAGACCTTTCTTGATCCACTCCACCATCTTCCTTGGTAGGTACCACGGGAGCAGCAACTGACATGGCTTTCTCAGCAAGGCTTGTGACTATGTTATTTTGGTTTTTTTCAGTTAGTGCCTCCTCAAGCTTGTCAGGCTTCCTCTGGCCATTACCTTCCATCAAGGAGTTGGATGAACACTCAGAATTTTCATCGCCTTTGTATGAATCCTGTGTGTTTGTATATAAGCATGATAAGTAGCAACATACCAAAATAGACAAAGTCAGCGGGCTTCTACCTTCATAAAGATTATGAAGAAATTTACATAAACACGTAATCAATGAGTATAACTAGAATTCTAGAAACCAAAAGTGTCTGAAGAAATAAACTTTTACCTGATTCCCCACAAATAACGCAGATGCCCCAAGGGCAGCTGTAACAGCACCAACCATAACAGTGTTGTTTATATTCTTCAACCCAGTCCTCTCCCCTTTCCTGTTAACTGAACTATCCAACCTAGCATTTTGATCAGATTTATCAACAGGCGTGTGGTGAATCTCTGCGCCACTAGCCTTGCCCAGATCTTTTTCTCCAGATATTTTGGCTTGACTAAGTGTCAGAACTTCTGTTTGGCCACGGTCATGCTCTGTAACGACAACAAAATGTTTTCTCAGCGCAGCTAAACTCGAGCCTACTATAACACCAACTGGCAGTACTCTTCTCAAGAAGCTAGTGTCCTGAACGGTGGATGATATAGCTCTAACCACATTCTCACCATGAAGAGTACCAAATTTTTCTGAGATGTTGTCAATACTATGGTATTTAACTTCCAAAATGGGAGCATCGGGTCCAACACAAAACGATACTGCATTTGCCACTTGTTCCACATCTCTGGCAAGATAGGGTTCCATCTTTTTCATGCCAGCTGCACTTAGTCTGCGGCCCACTTCAACCTTCAAAGTATTCAATATAATATTTTTCACGAATTGAATGAAATCCTGTACTTTTTCTTCACCAATTTCAATTCTCTCCTCCATATTTTCCACTGTTTCATATTCTTTTACTGGTTCCTGATACTTCTCTGTATCTAATATTACATATGATGGTTCAATAACTTTATCATTTACCTTTGCAGGTGAATGGGCGTGAACCTTTCCATCAACTTCCCTATGAGTCGCATCATTACCAACAGAACTTCCGACATGTCCTGGTGGTTCTAAGAGCTTCCACTGACCTTCTTCTGGAATATAGTCCAGCAATAGAGAAGCAGTTGAATCTAAATCTAGTGGTTTGGTAGGTACCTTTGAAAGAAGATCAATATGGGCCCCAGTTGGAACTGGAGTTATGCAGAGCGGAGCGCTCTTTACATGATTAAGTTTGTCTAAATTTCCCGCAAGAAGATTGAAACCAACCAATTGATCCTTCTTTTCTTTTTTATCCTCAACTCCACTGTTAACTGCATCACTTTCTTGAGAAATGTTCATACAATTCCCATTAACTGACATGGGGCTTTGATTAGGCTTCTCTACCCATCCATTTGGTGCATCAGATTGCAAATCCATATCAATCTCAGGGTGGTCAGATACAGAGATATTACTTAACCTATCCAGCTGTTCATTTTGGTCAGTCTTACTGGCTTCTGAATCTTCTAGACTACTGTCATCATCGAGATGGTCCTTTGCAGATTCAGACCCTGATACAGAGTCAATTTTACTTACTTCTTTTTCATGTTCTGAATTCTCCTCCAATTGAGATATCATATTTTCAATAACACCAAAAACATTGTTGACTGCCAATTGGGTGGAATCATCTATCCCTGTAAATGCATCCAGTGCCTCAGAAACACTAAAGGTATTACTTTGATCCATCACAGGCTTCATATTCTTATTATCATCAATCTTTTGATTATCATTACCTTCCTCTTCTTTTGTGTCTACTTGATCTACTATACCATCTTGGTCTCTTGGCTCCTCAACAATTGCTTCATCAGAACCACCAACAATTTCAGCCTGGCTGGAACTGTTAGTATTTGTGTCTGGTTCTGACCCCTTATCGTAAAGATATTCAGGAGCCTTTTCTTGGGAAGACTCATCGTCATTATTTCCTGATTCACTAACGTCGTTTCTGACAGAACCAGAAACATCGCTTCCATTACTGCTCAATGGTTGGGACTGATCTGGATTTAAATTCTGTTGTGATCCATCTGAGGGATGATACTCTGATTCTAGTACCCCTGGAGGCTTGTTCATGTCAGGAAGATTGTTAAGTGAGCTATCTACCAGATCATCATCCTTTTTCAACCGATCCGAAGAATGATTGTCTTGATTTAAACCTTCTGAACTTGATATTCCCGTGAACTTGTCTTGGACCTTTGACTTTAGACCTGAAGACATATCGGGAATCCGGGTAATACCCAGGAGTTCATCAAACTTTAGGTTTGTGCCTTGAGTCTGCACAACTCCAGATACAGCAGCTGTTAGCTTGCCACGAACATCTTGTGGCACTGCATCTTGCAAAGCTTTCATTAGTGTGTCTCCTTGATCAACTGCTGTTAATACCTGGGCACATATACCAGAAATATCTCAGAAAAAATTTAAATAGGTACAATATTTTATTCAGATAGACCAGAACATAAATATACTATGTGTTAATCAGTTCTAAAGTGCACATTGAGAAGACCGGAGACCCCAATTAACATATGACATGAACATAAATGCGACCACAAATGCAAAACCATGGCATGAAATTGCAATTTCGAGCTTCACCTTCTTCTTCTTTTCTTCTGTAAGAGTATCAGGCATGGTTACATCTAGCATGTTCATAACAATTTGTGCTGTCTGTAACACTTGACCTCTTTCACCATCTACAGGATTGACTTCCTCCTCATTGACCAACTCTAGGTCATCAGATTTAGTCTGATCCAGGGCACCATTTTCCACATCTGGCAACACTTTGTGTCCAACCTCTGACTTTCTCGATGAGTTCTTTTTGGATCTTAACCAGAAGCTAGCAGCAGTACCACTTTCAACAGGCATATTGTTTGTAGGTTCTGCGGTATATCCATTTAAAAAATCTGACTGGAGATCCAACTGCTTGGCAAATTTGCCATTCTTGTTGGACCCTCTGCCTTCCACAAGAGCTAATTCTTCTGAAGGGTCGATGGGTAAGTCCACATCTTTAAGAAGAGGGTGACGACCCTTCAAAAGTCCAAGCTCCACTGCTGTAAGCCACTGCACAGACCACACGCATTCTTATCAGAATATCAGAATGCAAAGTCAGATTCCATCCAATCTTCAAACATGAGGTGTTTTAAAATAAAACTTCTTCAACCGCAAACAGAAATAAAACAATTTATTACCTCAATTGTTACATGCTGGCACCAAGATAGAGCAAATTTACCACCATCAATAACACTAGATGTAGATGGCAAATAAGAACACAAAAGTAGGCTTGTAAATGGATTTTCTGCTATCAAACTGCGTGGAACTGAGAAGAGTGGCGCTGACCCATCGTCTTTCTGATAAAGTGAGATGTTAGAAATATTAACATACAATAAACAAGATCTTGTCAAAGTTGAAGTAAATGGCTTTGAGTTGACAACTATGTATGCACCTGTATAAATAGAACAGGAATCTTCACATTCCCAACCACACCTCTTGTACTTGATTTTGAATAAAAATCTTCAATGGCCTCAAAACCATAAGATACCATGGAGATTGCTTTTTCAAAATCACGAACAGAACTCGTTGAAAGAGCTTGTTCCACATCAAACCCTTTTGCTTTTCCTTGAAACAGTTCCTACACAACCAGGCGTGCATATTGTGTAATTTAATAGCGACAAGGGATAAATTACATAAACTAAATGGTCGAGCATAATTTGATGGCACCTCATTAAGCATTTTAAGTAGCACTTTGTTTCGTAAAAGATTGAAAGACTGAAAGGTAATGCATTTGCAGTATAGTAGAAGATTCAAATTGATCATCCACCTTGTTAGAACTTAGAATATCTATGAGTCCACCAGTGAGCTGCTGATCAATAGCCATCTGATGAGGAGAGGACCTAGTGGCCTCCTCTAAGTCAAAAGGATTGTCAATGCAGGTGGCGGCTGTAAGTGGCGTGCTCTCTCCAACTTCTGCCAGGTACTTTGTCAACATATTAGCACCATAGCCCCAGCCAACACCCATCAACGTGGTCCACGGCCTCGCCTCAGTGATGAACTGTATAGCAGTGGAGATATCATCGCTGTCAGCTGCTGAAAATAACCTACATAACATAAAGTGGCTTAAGTCGTCCTACGATCACCATCTGATTCTTCTCCTAAAAAACAAAAAATCCAAAACAAACCCAGACCCATTTCTTAATTACGTATAACAAGTGCAATATTGAGTCCAAGATACCAAATTTTCAACACACACCTCATTATTTCAAGTTTTCAACTACAATTCACAAACAGATAGATGATCCTAGCCTCACTGAGTTTAATTGAGTTGAGTTGAGCGAGTGACACATACCGTGGCGTGGTGAGAGGCGACCCGGCGCAACCCCTAGGGTTCATAACAATCGGAAAGCAGCCTCGCCTGAGAGCTTCGCACACAAAGGACCTGACTTTCCAATCCATACTACCCAGCGCCGAGCCCGGCACGATAACCAAGGTGGTGTCCAAACCATGTTCCTCTTTGAGGTCCAAATTCGCAGGCCAATCAAGAGATATGACCCCTCCATCGTCCGTGCCCACGCAGAGTCTCTGATACTCCAATTTCTCCTCCACGCCATTCTCTGTGCGGTTCCTCGAATCGAATTGAATTCGACCGCTGTTGAGCCTGACGAAGTGCCTGTCCTCCTTCACCAGCTTCTCGTTCACGTCTTCCAACAACTCGCTCCCCTGGAACGATATCGACGGACACCTCAGGAGGACGAAGCGATTAAAAGGCGTCGGACTGGTGAACAACACCCACTCTCCGATATCGAAACCGGATTGCTGATTGGCCCAGCCGGAATTGGAATTGGCATTAGAGAGGTAGAGGGTGGCGCCGGAGATGAAGCCGAGAAGCGGAGCGATGAGTTGGAGGGAATTAGGGGAAGGGAATTGGGAAATGAAGTCGTGGAAAGGGTTTCCGTTTCCGATTCCGAGTTGGTTTCGCGGGGCAAGTTTGAGTCTTCGGCGACGGTAGACCCGGAACTCGCGGATCTGGAAAGCGTGTTTGAGGAAGAAACGAGGAGTGATGGTGGAGTGAAGGTTAGTGTGATGGGTGCAGTTGGAGCTCAAATTGATCATTTTTTTTTTTTGGTTTCGGAGAATTCGGGTTTTGAAAATTCGAGTTTATAATGAAGAAGAGATAGAGAATCAGAGATGGAGAGAGAGAGAGAGAGAGAGAGCGAAAGCTCTATAACTGTTTCTGTTTTGGACCCAAAGGGAGTGAAAGTGAACGGTTGAGAAAGTCGATGGGACATGTGGGCGATGGTGATTGGTGAATAGAAGAGGCGGGAGGGAGCAAGCTGTTAGGTTGAACACGGCTTTTACCCGGGAATGCAACCTTAACGGTCCATATTCTACGTTGCTTTGTCTTTTTTATTTTGGTTTTTGTATTTTTAATTAAAGAAATCTTGAACGGTCCATATTTCTTATTTTAGATATTAATAATAAATATTAGTTCCGATCTCTTGAACTACAGGAGTTCAAAACATCCAACGATTTAAAAAAGTTTCTTAAAAGAAGTGCAAGAGTGAGTGAATCGTTAAATTTACATCCAACGGTGAGTGACCACAAATCGGGACAATTAATTATACTAAGATAATTTTGTTTATGTAAAAGTAGCCAATCTTATCTACCCCTAAACTTTGTTTTTAAAAAAAGAAAAAAAAAAGAAAGAAGAAGATATGAACAATCTTCAAGCAGCCTAACTATATTCCTCCACTTATAATGGACCTTGATGTAGTAGGCCCGCTTATCTCAAATGAACAGCCCATCCAAAGGCCTCAAATGAAAACTCAAGTATGCAAGGTATGATGTGCCTATGCTATGTCTTTTCAAATTTCTATGATGTACAGATAAATTAGAGGATTAATTAGGATGTTGGCAGACAACAAAACTGACATAGCCAGATTCATAACAAGATAATTGAGTCGATGATCTTGTTTCTATTTATTTATGTTAAGAAACCAATCAACATCTTTTAAATTTTATTTTTATCCAATCAGTAGGAATCAATTTCAAAAAAAATTTGTTTTTGTTGTTTAAAAAAATATCAGATTAATTATATGGTTCATAATATTATGCATAGATTTTGTTTATATGCAGTTTGTCACATATGTATACCCACCTGCAAAATATATATAAGAGATTTTGAGATTGTGTCTCCTCCAACAGAGAATCAGATTTGCCTGTACTATTATCATCTCCACTAATTACATCATTTTCTGCTAATTGGGCTTGACCAAACTTAATTGGGCATCATTCAACATTAATTATTGTATATGTAACATGACAAGATAATGTTCGGCGTTCATTAGTGCTTGCTTTATGTAAATTAGTTGGTCCAATTAATTAGGAATGTCAGATTAGACTAAGATTAACAATTGATAATGACTCCATTAGCACCCTAGTAGTTATGCATGAATTGAGTCCACGTGGGGCAGGTATGGGTGTGACAAATGTTACTAAGAATGTAGACATGGCTCAAACATTCTACGGCATGCCAAGTCCATGTGTTGTTCACATGTTCTTGCTCACCAGCTGCCTTGTGTCTTTAAATCAACATCAAATTTGACAAAAATGCCAAACCATATCATGGTTAGTAGGTATTAATTTGGATGTTTATGGTTCCCAATCTTATATTATATCATCTCCTCGCGTTACCATAATGCATAAGCTCTCATAAAAATTTCCTACGTTTAATTTGAGCCCTTGAAGTGGCAAAAATACATCTTTAAGTTTGCCTGCATTTCAAATATCAAAAGCCGACTGTATATCCGTCTCATTGTACCTAAATTCGATCCCCTTCTTCGACATTTAGACTAATTTATAATATCATTTCAAAATTCTGAAACCAACTAAACTTATATACAGTGTATATTAAGTATTTAATCAAATCCCTTGTCTTTTCTGATAATGTTAAAAATGAAGGTTGTTACCGCTTACCGCCGGTTGGCGCGTACATTCTGAAAGAGGGGAGGGATGGATGAAGACCTTGAAAACAGCATTGCACATGTCTGTCCCTTTCACTGACATTTCTTTTTAATTAAAAACATAAATAGTAGAATTGTTCTTCGTCAATAGCGTTCGAAAATCATGGAGACCACCACCAACTTTCTAGTAACCCCTCATCCAAGACATTTTTTAATAAATAAATTAGCCTCACTCATCTTTTTGTTTGTTTTTTTTTAATTTTTTTTTTATTCAACACAGTTCGACGGAGCAAAGCCTGAGTTACTCTATTCAGATGCAACCAGCCAAACTTTGAAGGCACATTGTTTGGGTTGATGACGCCTCATGTGCCGAACGGCGCACCTGGTTTTCCCTCGAGCTTTGCCGCCGTTATTATTCAACTTCTGCAATTTATATCACAACTTCAAGAATTGTTATATGTTAAGGAATATTTTTTACTAAATATATAGTTTTTTTTTCTTCCAGGGAAATATATTGTTTGATATGTTATATTGTATGAATGTCAATTAACCGTTATAATTGATCAATTATAATCAAGAATACATCACTTGATTAATAGATAGTGGGACTGACAAAAATATTTAATAAAATGCCTTGCAATAAACATTTTATATTGTCGAAATATTGAGGATATTATCGTTTTTTGGGGAGGGAGATATTTTGGAACATATGCATGTAATTATCGTATAATTATCGATAATATCGGAAAAATTTTGGCGCCGATAATATCATTCAATTATCACAAACATTTGGTCAATATCGATAATATCGCAATATGGACATAGAATAGAAAAATAAATAAATTTAAAAGGCTTATGCGTGCATACAGGGGGGATTTGAATCCCTATCACTTCCGTTCTTCCTTCAACGCCTTATCCACCACACTGTTGATGGAAAAAATCCGAGACCCAATCTCATATCCATATATATAGGTGACATGTTAACAATTACATACAAAACTATTTTGGGAATTTATCATTTGATGATTACTTTTCACAGTACACATGCTCTACACAGAGATGATAAAGACAGTGAAAAATTTGAACCTCGCAGGAACTTTATTTGGTACTAAGTCACTCATATATCTTACCATGCAATTTATAAAGTGTAATTTTTTTTATAGTAAATTATAATAAATAAATTATTATGGTGTGTTTAATCTTCTCATTAATTATTATATATATATATTCTAAACTCACAGTGTTTGTGAGCTCGCTATATAATCAACTTAAATTAGTCAAACCCACGATGTAATGCATGTCCTTCCAATTTTTTGTGATAAAATAATAGAAAATTAACTAAATAAACATCATGTAAAGTTTCAATCAAAATTTTCAAAATTTTCTTACAATTTCCTTTGTATTTATTCAGTTTTTACCGATGTTGATAATTTTTTGATATTTCCATCCATATTTCGGTATTTTTGGACTCCCAATATTTTAGACCTTGATTTTAACAAACTACTCTTTTGATGAAAAATAATAATAAAAAATTCCATAATAGTATAATTTCTTCCAACACGGGAATTGACCGTTCTCCTTTTTTCTTTATCTGTAAAAGTTACATACATATCCCTTCAATCTTCTAATACACGCACATATCAACTAACTCTTAATCTAGTGTCTAATGTTAAAAGAAACTCTAAATTCGGATCCCCAATTGATTTAAAATCTCATATGAATTATAATGAAATTCCTTTTATTCACTTCCAAAAGAAGAAGAAAAAAACATTTTAATGGAATTACAATGACACCCCTCCCCCCTCACCTAAGTTCCCTTTAAATATGAACCTTCTTTCCCGTTTCCAAATCCTCCAAAAGCAACACACTACTCTCTCTCTCTCTCTCTCTCTCTCTCTCTCTCTCTCTCTGTTGCTTAGGAAAACATTCATTTAATCTAAAACTTCATCACCATGGCCAAAGGTGGGAAGCTAACAAAGCTCAAGTCAGTCCTCAAGAAGTGGAACTCATTCAGCAAGCAGAACAGCCGCCCAAGCCTCAACTCCGTAGTCTCCCCCGACGACGACTTCTCCTCGTCCCCCGCCGTTATCTCAGCCGACCTCCGGCCGGTCTACGTGGGCAAGTCTCGACGACGCTACCTCGTAAACTCCGACGTCGTAGACCACCCGCTTTTCAAGGAGCTGGCAGACAGGTCCGGGGACTCAGACGACCACACAATCAATGTCGCATGCGAGGTGGTGCTGTTCGAGCACTTGCTTTGGATGCTCGAGAATGCCGATCCTCAGCCCGAGTCAATGGACGAGTTGGTCGAGTTCTATGCCTGCTGTTGATGAGGAGGAAGTAATATTATATGTAATGCTATGTACGCATGTAGGTGACTGAGGAAAATAATGAGTAAGAGAGAGAGGTGGGGGTGATTCTGTGTGGTCATCTGCACGGTAGAAGGTTGTACATTGTTGATAGATCGAGTGGAGAGGAGGATAAAAATTGGTTTGAGATTGTGTGATTTGATTGCACGGTTGAGGATGATTAACCCAATATTTAACATCCATCTCTGGGCTGGTGGGAAATTCGTTAGTTCTGTCATTCTTCTTTGTTCATTCTATTCTACAAATTTATGAATATATATATAAATATTAATGTTTATTTCTTGTAGTTTGATGATTATTTTATGTCGCATATATCACACCTTCTTACTTGATGTGGTTGGAATGTAATTAAGCGAACTCCGCATAATTTACAAGGTTATTATTAGTTAGAATGCGTATTTTACTAATTACATAATTGATTACATTTCACGACAACGAAATCTATACGTGCTTATTTGGGGAGTTGAATATTTAAGCTTTATGATAAATGCGATAGTGCGGTACATGTAGTATGTGGTATATATGTCCAAAATAATGTCAACATTGGAAGAAACTATATAGTACCACCATTTAATTATTTTCCTGTTCGAAGTTCCTGGCCACACACATTAACTAGGCAGTCAGTGGTACTTCAGGCATTATCTAAAGGATAACAAGCTAGCTACGATTTAATTACCAAGTGAAATTCAATTGGTTGCTCGGGTGCAGAGTAAAGAACACATATATGCTTAGTTGCTCTATTTAATTTGTGACATTTTGATAAATTTTATGTTACTTAGCGGTGAAGAGAAATTATGCAACTTTACATGTGGATAAGTTTGGTCTGACGACAACAATACGTGGTCCTTTGTATTTTTCTGTCGCAAAG